AATACATACAAAGCAGAACACAGCTAAATGTATCAAAAGTATGTCTATGTAATATTAGAATTTTCTGAGACAATGAATTTTGGTTTTTCGTTTTTTTCCCCAGTTAGAGGTTTTTATTTAATAGAATTTTTGGACAAAAAAAATCGCGATATATTGCCTTGTTTACAGTATCGCAATATATCGGGATATATCGTATCGTGACCCCTCTGTCATGATATGTAGCGTATCGCCAAATTCTTGCCAATACACAGCCCTATTGAATACTCTAGTTAAGGTGCTTTAAAATCTGCCTATTATTCATATATAAAATGTGTTTCTGTATTTTGCCCCCATAAGTACAGTACCTCATGCAGGTTTATTTTAGTTTAGTTTATTCATTTCTTTAAAAAACAACAACATAAATTCAACATACAACAATAATACAAATCATAAATTAAATGAAAGGTAGCAGAAGAAGATAAAATCTTATATCTGCCCCTTTTTCATAAATAAATAAATTCAATCAAAACTAATCTTTAGTTTATTAAAAAAAGAAAAATACAAAGGTTTATAGGTGTTTAATGCTAGAGAAAATAAACAGTCCTTCCTGTTGTAAAAGTGCTTCACCAATAAGCCTCAAATCTCATTTTATTTCACAGTTGTTACATTCACTATAGGATAAATCTATTTTATTGTTATTCAGATCTTTAAAAACTGATAAAACATGAACAAATAAAATCTAAGATGCCATTTTGGATGTTAGAAGAAATCGTTTTCATGCCAAAGTAACCATGCTTTAGCACCAGGAATAAGATACAGATTACTGAATTGTTCAAATACTTAAATTTTTCATTACAACCCATCACGAATCATTTGTTTTATACTAATTTTCATAATAAAATGATTCATTCATTAAATTATTTAGTGATGTACACCGTATGACCAACTCAATGACTGGTACATTAGTCAAGTTTTATAATTATCGTAATATTTCACACATCCATTCTAAACCAGGTTTCACCTAACAGTTTTTCAGAGTAGTAAGTGAGAAGTCGTAGGTAGTCCACCTTCTAATCAGTCCCCTTTCATCTCCTTTGTGCCCATTTCTTTCCAAAATGAAATGAGCCATGAATAAGTTGACTGATTGACTGAATTCAAATTCTGGCTGAGTGGAGGACTCCCTGATGTTTCCTTTTCCTTTCTGCTTAAAGTATAATATTGAGGGTTTTTTTTTTCATTTTGTTGCAGAAACTCTTCAGAGTAATAACATAGGTACCTCTTTTTTCCRCTCATAATTGTTGAGGTGCAAAATCTGCAACTTGAGGCTCAAATMTTGCCTTCAGTGGCTGCGATGGGTGCTGCTTGGATACATTTTTATCTCCAATGGAGATTGTTTTTATGTGTCATTGTGTGCATGTTTGTTTGTAGTGTTAGCAAAATATCTCATGAGCTGTTCAAGGGATTGTCAAGAAACTCTCAGAGAGTAGTAATTGGATGTTTTCAGAGCAGAGCCCAGTTTGCCTGCATGCATTTGACAGAGCATCCGAGTACATTTGTCCTGAGGTCGTGTGTCTTTTATCCATCTTCAAGGGCAGCAGGGACACGAGGAGTTGGTGAGACAGAGCAGAGAGAAAATGAGGATAAATTGTTTTGTAGAAAAAGGAGAGAAGATTAGTGACTGGGAGGGYAGGAAGGTCTGGTTTAGAGGCCCAGCATCACACACAGCAGACACATGAAGGGATGCACGCTCTGACGAGTCGCAGTGGAGTCATTTATCTGCTCCGGGGTGGCTGTGTGCGACAACGGGAACATTCCCTTACAAATATTCGAGATGTTCAGGAGACGTGACAGCCACACACAAAAAACTATATACTCACACAGCTGGTATGACCCCTTATTCTTACACTTTTACTGTTTTCAGGGTAAAAATGCTGTTTTATTTCTGTTAAAAAGTAAGTCAAGAATAAGACGGTAAATGTGGGAACTGAGCAGACCAGACTGTTGGTTAAAGAGGGGATGATTTTCAGTGGTAAACATGCTCCTGTCCTGACTATGAGATGCATTTCTGTCATTAAATTCAAAAATAAAATATATAGTGGATAACATAAAGTCTTGATTTGCAAATCATTGTGTTCTGGTTTTATTTACATTTTATACAGCCCATATCCCCAACAAAACGATTGTTCTGCTTGTTGGCTTGCAAAAAACACGTTTTTTGTAGTGATTTCATTCACAGTTTCAGTTTGTTTTTTTCTTTTCAAAACATTTTGTAATTATTGTTCCGTCCTGTTTTTGTTTCTCAGAGTGGTGGTCCGACAGAGATGGAGAAAAGCCAACCCTGTTCGGACTCTCAGAATTCTCCACAGGGTCAGCCCAGAGAAGCGGATCAGATCCACCCCCAGACTTCTGCTTCAGCCGGACCTCCGTCAGAGTGCGCAGACCCTAAAGAAACTCCCGAGGACTCGGAGAGCCTGAGCGACTCTGCTGCCCAGCTCCAAAACAAGTCTCTGTGGAAACCCATTCCCCCTCTGCTGCCTGAGTCCCAAAGGGACCCCAACTCTGATTTCAGGGACCAGAGCTGCCAGACCGAGGAGACATTTCCACCGACCACTGCCAGCAACCATAGTCATAACACAGGTTGGTTGTTTTCTTGTTTATTTTTATTACGTCTCCGCATCTTGGTGCTTTATTTAATTCACCTTCAGGCTAAAACTGTCTGTCAGCCCCCCTCGTGTGGCATCACTGCTGCAGCTGCTCAAAAATAAACCTAAACTGTTTGTTCTCACAGTAAAACTGCTTCATGGAGGAGCTGGTTTTGGTTTTCTGCACCACAGTGTGCACCACGGGTCAATAATGTTGATGGAAGTTTTTTTATTAATTTATTCTGGTACTTCTGTATTCTGCATTCTCCAAAGAAACAAATAAAGATTTGATTGTGATTATTAGAATATTTTCACTTATCATTTCTTAGAAATGATACTGAGAAACTTCATGTATACCTACTGTAAGTGTCGTCTGGATGCATCAAATAATTTTATAATAAGACTGCTGACAGCTGCAACATACAGTGATTTTAGATATACTTTTGTTTTATCTGATTTTTTACAATTTTACTATTTTTTCCTTTCTTTTTTATATATATATATATATATATATATATATATATATATATATATATACATACATACATACATACATACATACATACATACATACATACATTCACCGGCCACTTTATTAGGTACACCTGTCCAACAGCTCGTTAACACTTAATTTCTAATCAGCCAATCACATGGCGGCAACTCAGTGCATTTAGGCATGTAGACATGGTCAAGACAATCTCCTGCAGTTCAAACCGAGCATCAGTATGGGGAAGAAAGGTGATTTGAGTGCCTTTGAACGTGGCATGGTTGTTGGTGCCAGAAGGGCTGGTCTGAGTATTTCAGAAACTGCTGATCTACTGGGATTTTCACGCACAACCATCTCTAGGGTTTACAGAGAATGGTCCGAAAAAGAAAAAACATCCAGTGAGCGGCAGTCCTGTGGGCAGAAATGCCTTGTTGATGCCAGAGGTCAGAGGAGAATGGGCAGACTGGTTCGAGCTGATAGAAAGGCAACAGTGACTCAAATAACCACCCGTTACAACCAAGGTAGGCAGAAGAGCATCTCTGAACGCACAGTACGTCGAACTTTGAGGCAGATGGGCTTCAGCAGCAGAAGACCACACCGGGTGCCACTCCTTTCAGCTAAGAACAGGAAACTGAGGCTACAATTTGCACAAGCTCATCGAAATTGGACAAGAGAAGATTGGAAAAACGTTGCCTGGTCTGATGAGTCTCGACTTCTGCTGCGACATTCGGATGGTAGGGTCAGAATTTGGCGTCAACAACATGAAAGCATGGATCCATCCTGCCTTGTATCAACGGTTCAGGCTGGTGGTGGTGGTGTCATGGTGTGGGGAATCTTTTCTTGGCACTCTTTGGGCCCCTTGGTACCAATTGAGCATCGWTGCAACGCCACAGCCTACCTGAGTATTGTTGCTGACCATGTCCATCCCTTTATGACCACAATGTACRCAACATCTGATGGCTACTTTCAGCAGGATAATGCGCCATGTCCTAAAGCTGGAATCATCTCAGACTGGTTTCTTGAACATGACAATGAGTTCACTGTACTCAAATGGCCTCCACAGTCACCAGATCTCAATCCAATAGAGCATCTTTGGGATGTGGTGGAACGGGAGATTCGCATCATGGATGTGCAGCCGACAAATCTGCGTCAACTATGTGATGCCATCATGTCAATATGGACCAAAATCTCTGAGGAATGCTTCCAGCACCTTGTTGAATCTATGCCACGAAGAATTGAGGCAGTTCTGAAGGCAAAAGGGGGTCCAACCCGTTACTAGCGTGGTGTACCTAATAAAGTGGCCGGTGAGTGTGTGTATATATATATATATATATATATATATATATATAAACCCAACACACAAATCATTTTTTACCAAAATGTGTTTATTTAGATGAGACAATGCACATTAYTTGAVYTTTCTGTAAATGTGCCAGAGTTYGCCAAAGGCTATTTTTCATCTGTTGTCCCTGGACTTGARAAAAACAAGAAAGGTTATACAAAACAAGGTTAAAATGGCTCAGCTACATACAATTTGTCAATAATACAATAAAATACAATCAAAACGAAAGATAAAAAATGAAAATAAAAAATGTAATTGGATGATACCTCTAGGAAAACTTTTAGGAAAGTATTCAACTCATTACTCTGTTTCCATGTAGAACCAGTTTGCTTTAGATAGTTTTGTTCCTCTACATAAATGAAATCATCTAAAAGCATTTTGTGCTTACTCAGCTTAACATTTGTTTGATGATCTAATACGTGTACGCCAAACAAAAAAGCAAGAAATGTGTAAGGAGGCATTTCTTTTTTTCACTGTAGTTGCATCATGTAAACTCTGACACTGTGTTAATTAGACAAGCACTCCCAGTAAAAGTGATCTTTTATTTGATCTTTGACTCATCTGCACATGTTTGTGGATATTAAGGGTTATGGGATTTACTGACCTGAACTGCTGGGATTATGGATTAGAGAATGAAAAAAGGCTTTCTAGCACGCATTCATGGATAATCTCATCACCTTTTTAAAAAAAAAAAAAAAACTCTTTCTGTCCTTTCTGTCTGTTTTTTGCTTTTACTATATGCAGAGAGCAGACATAAACAAACGGATCAGTCAGTGCTGCTTTTACCCGCCTCGATTTAAGAAATAACCTGCGTCTAACCTTGTTGAAGATGAGGGTCATGGGAGACACCTCACTGATGACGGTTTTAACCTGCATCAATCTGATTCAGCCGTTACCTGCTTGTCTCTCTCTAACATAATGACCATGCTGCACTGCTTCCTCTGCTGGATGCATTTGTGTGCATTCAGGTGTAAAAAAGGGTGCTTTGCACATTAACTGCAGCTTTGTCATCTGATTTAAAACTTTGCACATTGATTAAATCCAAATTGTTGCATGTGAGTGATCATTTCCTACAGAGCTAACATATAGCAGGTATTTGTTACTCTGGTTTTAGTATATGGAAAGATTTGTCTCTAGTTTCACACTACAGATGGTGTTTGTTTTTGTCAATACTCAAGGTGTTCATTTGGTTGTAAAACCTATTAAATTAAAAGGCAGTAAATTACATTAATAAAACCTAAAGCCATTAAAAAAGTAATAAATGTCATTTGACTTACCCTGGTATGTCTCCTAAAAATTCTGTCCCTATAACAATAAAAACACTTTTTGATGGGTTAGAGTTCAATAACAAATAATCGTATAAATGTCAGTGTTTTTATTGAGGCAACAAAGTAACTATATATCCATTAACAATAATGATAACTACAACATTTAAGGAAGAAAATTACACTAATCTCTTACTTCGTATTTGTTACCCATTGAAGTTCAAGAGGCTGCAGTTGCAGTTCAAAGTCGTGTTGGTATTAAAAAATATTATGAAGGTATTAAAAAGGTATTAAATTTGACTTAAGAGTTGCTGTATATACCTTGTATGAATATGGAAAAAAGTTAAGCCAGGGGTCTGCAAACTTCACAGTTGAAAGAGCCATTTCTGCTACTCGACGCACTAATAAAAGATGTCCAGAGCCGCAAAAACAAGCTACAACTGTGACTATAAACTGGTGGTCCATGGGCCTTTCGAGGTCTTTTCGGGAACCTTTCTGGCCAGTGGAGGTGACATTATAAAACTAAAAATTATAT